GATTCCAAGTCACTGGTCTACGTGACAGAGAGAGTGAGCAAGAGAATTTCAGAAAGGGAGATGCTGGTGTCCAGCCAACTATGCTGTAGATTGATGCATTCTATGATGTTGCAAGAAGTAGTGATTCTATGATCACCTAAATTTCGAAAATACAGATAAAGTTGAAGGATAAAGTTAAATAGTGACTATAGGATGTCTCAGAGCCTTTAACATGCCATTCTTCAATAAGACCAAGTATTCTGTGTTTCCCAATTTAACGGGTTGTGGGATTAATTGTTTTGATAGTTGGTTGGTTGGTTGGTTGGTTCAACATCTTGGGAACACACATTGGAAAATTATTTCAGAACAAAAGAATGATGTGTGAATGTGTGCATGCTCAATACACATACCTAGGTAACAGTGGCCCATCTGACAATGAAGGGCTCCTGATCATAATAGATAAGAATGTGAGGAAGCAGGTAAGGATGACTATTTGGAAGTCATGGGCGAAGAGGTGGCCATCAGAAACATGGTGAAGATCAGGTTGTTTTGTACAGCCACTAGTAATTAATAGGAGGTGTGAGGTATGCATGTGGAAAAAAAAGCATAAGGCGGGGACCAAAGGAAGGCCTTCTGGATGACTCACTGTCACCGGAACAGCCTGGAAAGAGCTGGTCCATGGCATTGGGCGCCAAGAAGGCCTCTTGGGCTGGTTGGCCCCAGACATGTCCTCTCATATATCTACTGTGTTGTGGTAGGGTGCCAATGCTAGGACAAAGGAAAAAAAAGATGGCACCCCCAAATTCCCTGTTGCATTCAGTAAACACTGAGGTAAGAGAACAACTAGCATCAAAGTCCAGCTTTCAGGGAAGACACTATTTCTGAAGAGAAAGGGGACAAAAGGATAAACTTAGAATGTAATAAAGTTAACATAGGCTTCTTGAGCAGCTATGAATCTGATGAGGCCTTTATGATGGGCAAAAATTGCTAATTTTTCGAGACAGCCAGACCAAGAAAATGATAGGATTAATTATAACTCTTATACCCAGTTTCATAATCAGAAGATTACTTTTGAAACTTTATTTTTTATAGCCAAGTTTAAAAATAGACTGCAAAGCATGTCCCTTTGGAGAAGTCCGAATCAGCATAGTGGTGGTGTATGAAGGATTTCAAAGGCCACCCCTGTGTCTGGAGTGGAACTGCAAATATTTGTGTTTATTTTTTTGCTGGACCAGGCATTTTACTTTTAGACTTTTGAATTGTATTTTATTCTGGCATAGCTTCTGTTGATAGCCAGTAGTTTAAATTGCAAAGTTTAAACTAGGTCACACATAGGTGGGCAAGCCATCACTTTTCTTGGCAAGTAGAACAGCCTTGCACTAACTGAGCGCAGGCGCTCCGCCCTGTGGTTAGTTAGCGCTGTTCTGGCCCTTCATAGCCAGGCTCCAGGGCCTTCTGCTCTGCTTCTGCTAAGTACCCACACAAAACACCAAAAAGACACTCCGTAAGTCAGTCATAGGTGTTCGCAAAAGGAGCATGTAAAATAAAAAGTCTCTAGTGAGTGTGTCTTTCTGACTTTTGGTGGCCATGAGCGCTGACAGCTGTGGTGACAGCGCTACACAGATGCTGCTTTGTGCCTCCTCCTGGCACTGTCCGTGACGTGTATCTCTCCACATCCTGTATGGCACCAGGGTTTGGGATAACCGCAACACAGCACTCTAGAGAACCCGACACTTTGCTGCCTTTGGTGATGGCAGCAGTGCTCAGCACCCCTCCCTCCCTGTCGGCCTCCTGCCTCATGGCAGACAGGCACTTACACGTCTGTCCTGAGCAGAAAGGGTAGGCACGTGGTCAGCACTAGCGTAGCGCGAGGAACGCCTTCAGGGGCCCATCCTTGATCTTGTGTGTTACCGGCTGTTTGCAAAGTCCTCTCTTACGTTTGGCCTGGTGTGAGCACTTGAGTGATGTCCATGTACAGCTTCTCAGATCCAGGAATAGCTGCTGGGGTGCAGGGAGCTCACCCCACCCCCAAATCTGTCCAGTCAGGTTGTTTGGTGACTCAAGCGTTGTGTGGGGAATTCTTGGTGAGATTTGCAGAGCTGAAACATACACTTTTTCCTCCTTAGCATAGTACCGTAACTGGAAACATTTGGTACTCCAAGGCCAGTGCGTCTGAGTTAGGTAAAGTCAGGGAGTGATTTCACACTTGACTGGAGCAGGATCCCGCTCTCGTGCTGCAGCAGTTGCAAAGGGAAACAGGCGTGTTGGGCATGAGGACACTCACTTCCCCTGGACTTGAACCCCGGGGTTGACTGTCCTAGTAGCATTGCTTTCTTTGTTTTGGCACAAAAAAGGAAAAAAGTCACTGTCCCCCTACTAAATCCCGGTGCTTATCCATCCCGATGCTGTACTAGAGATCTCGTCAGGCTGGCGCATGTGCGCTCCCATGGAGTACACAGGGCCGTGAGAACGTCAGGTAAGCTGGAAGGAGAGGGGCTTCTGGTATTAAATCCTGAGAGGAGTGAAGTTTTGAGTCATTTATCATAAAAATCAGGTTTCAGGGACAATTAGCATATGGCAAGAGAGGCAAGGTTGACAAGAGTAACGAGGTGGAGGAGAGAAAAGGGCAGTAAGAGTGAAAGATACTTTTATCATTTCGGTACGAGAGTGGGCACCTGAGTGGCTAATCCAGGCAGAGTACTTGATGAGCACGACTGGATGCCCTCCTGCGTCTAAACCAGTGGTCTCAGACTCAAGTGTGCCCTGCAGTCACGGGAGGGTGTGTCTGCACAGAGACTGCTGGCCCCATCGCCAGTTTCTGATTGAGAAACTCGAATTTGCTTCACTAACAAGTTCCCAAGTGAGGCTGGTACCTCTGGTCTGGCAACCATATTTCTCCAGAACTAGGCCCTAGAGAAGAGGAAACACCTCAGCAATTCCCATCTCGGGGACACCCAGGAAGCGAGGCTGGGAGGGGAGAACCTAGACCTCCAGCCATGTCCTGTGAAGGGGGGGGCATGAATTAAGGCCTCGCGCTCCTGGAAGACAAAGCAATATCAGCCTCCCGTCTCCTCTGTTGCTGGGATGCTTGCAGACGCCAGTGTGCTACCTGCCCCGATATTCTGAAATACTGTGAGAAAAGGACAGTGTCGTTCTGTACAGAAGTGTATTTCAACACTGGCCCTCCTAAGTGTCCATTAGCTTGGGTGAACTGGTGAATCAGGACACCAGAAATGATGGTCAGTACTTCCTTTGTTACGAAATAGAGTGGTAAGAATATAGAGCTTGAGATCATTTCTCTAAAGGAAGCATCGGTTTAAAGCCAAAACCGCTGGATGGCTGATGTATTTCTGGAAAGTAAAGTCAGAATTGGGCTCAGTGTTCACCACTGTACTTGCCTGCTTCCTCAAGCCACGGTCAGTAAGAGCTGAAACATTACTGGCGTTTGTTTTCTTCTTCCTAATATAATCAACAGTGGTGCTTTCTAACACCATAGGGATGCCGCTGGAAGTAGGAGCAGGACAGGAGTAGCACTTTGAGGTTGTCTGTTTTTACTGTCAACTCCTGACTTTTCAAGATTATTCTATAAACTGTTTTTCATCAAATTTGACCTTATGGCTGAATAACAGCAAGCCTTTTCTTTCTTAATGTTCCCTTGGAATCAGAAATTGTTACTAGTTTGAGTTCTTAGTGGCAGTTGAGGGGTGGCATAATATTTTGGGTTTCATTTTTTACCCAATCTAGAAAGCCCCACGGCACAAAATAAAAATGGCACCATGTGAAATAGAAAGGCTTTCTGTCACAAATGTTTTCAAAAATTCATGAAGGGCTGCGGATTTGATTTATCTTATCCTTTTTTCTGTGAATTATTCTCATTTAATGTTAGTTTCAACATTTGGCACATGAAGAACTTTGTCACATTAAAAACAGGGGTGAACCAGTTTCATTTGAAGAAATACTCCCCTGTGCCAGGGGAGTGACGCAGCTTGTTCTGAGTCTTCATGTGCTCAAGGGGATGCTGGGTTTGGTTTTCCCAGGGGCTGGAATGCTCACCAGGGAGCCCTTCCCTGTAGGGCAGGGCGATTCGCTCACCTGCTCACTGGGTCTCCTGGGTGCTCACAGCTGTTTTCCTGGCATCGACAGACACCAAGCGTAGACACCAAGTGGTGCCAGAGGCAAAGAGCGGGACAGCCCTCACCTTCGGGCCTTGTTCTGTGTGTTGTCTTGATTTCTGTGTTTGAGCCTCTGAGCTGCCTGTGTTTTCTGGAACATCTTAGAGACAATATCCAGTCTTTTCTGTGGGTGGTTCATAAATAATGAACGATAATAGAATTAGCTTCGAATGTAGGAAGGAAAATGAACTCAAAACAAACTCATAATTTTTTAAACTAGTAAATAGATGCCTGGTCTGCAGCAGGGGCCTTTCTCAAAGCCCTGGAAGCCGAAAGGCCTGGGGGATAGCACCCCACTCCCCCTCCCACCCTAGGACCTGGGCCCTGCCCTCGAGGGCAGAATGTGCTGCCCCTCTCCCACCCTGAGGCCCTGGGAGGCAGATTGAATCTCGGATGACTTAACGGGCACAGTTGCCTAGCCTGCTCCTGCTTCTGTCCATCTGTCCTCCCGGTGCTTCTGCCCTTCATTCCTTAGGCCTCTTCCATCCCTCTCACTGCCACCCCACTCTGCAGACCCTCCTTTGGGTTCGGTGTTTGTCACTTTTCATAAAAGGGGGGACTGGGCCAATTTCCTCTGCTGAGAATAATTAACCCTTCATAAAAACATCAAGGAAACATGGGAATACAAAACATGGGAGCCTCTGAGGAGAAATTCCTTTTCACCTGGTTTCGCACTTGTCACTGACTTCGAGGCCTCCCAAGGAATGGCAGCCTACAGCGAGCAGTACGGGAACGTAGGCGTGTGGTCTTCAGAGCCGCTTGTGGGTGTTTTGTCATTGTGACCTTGACTGCATCCCTTTGCTTAACAAGAGAATCATGTTGATAAATACAGTGATCTTTCTCCCTTAGACTATTGGGAAGAAGTTACCTCCGACGACAGCAACTCCAGACTCTTCCAAAGCTGAAATGGACAGCCGGACAAAGAGTGAGTTTTATTTTTTCCTTCAATGTTTGAAAGCCATGATGGTTATTAGTAATGGTGATGCTTTCGGAAATGCTTGCACAATTTTACTAGCTCTTTTAGGCAAGTTGGGAAAACAGACATGCATCTCTTTACTAGGGTCCCACTGGTAGGATGGGTATAAGTTAGATTTGGAACTCCTGGGCGTTTTCTTCTTTATGGAACAAACTTCTTTCCTACTGTTGGAATGCAGACTGAGGAATACCCTGGGACCCCCAAACTTGCATGCTCTAAAGGGGATCTGCCATCTACTGCATAAAGACAGAGCATATTCTTGATGTATAAGCCCTTCAATTGAAAAGAACTTGAATAGAATTAGTGTGCATAGCAGAGAGAGAGAAGACAAGAAAGGATAACAGTTTTCCAATAAAACACCCAACATGACCCACCTCCTTGTGGGTAAAAGCCCAGCCAAACAGAATTTACCGCAAGCAGGACCACTGAGGCCTGAAAATTTGCCACCAGTCTAAGGCATCTTCTGGTGGGGACCCATGGGAAAGGGGCAGAAGGGGCCGGTCGAGCCTGGGACCAAAGGAGCAGAGTCAAAGTGCAAGTCAAGGGAAAGGCTGTCACTGTCAGCCTCCCACGTCTCACCCACAGCTCTTCCAAGTGTCTCATGTGTCTCAACTCGACATGTCTCCTTCCACGTGCCCCAGGCCCTGGCGCAAGTCCACACCCAGAAGCAAACAGGCCTTCTTCATGTGACTCGCTGCTCCACATGGCTCCTCTGTGTCTCTAAGTCTTCCTCTTCTGCTTCCCCTCTGTGCTCAGCTCTGCCTTTGTTAGGTGGGGCAGGGAACCGGGAGCCTCCCCCTTTTTATGGCAATCATACTCTAAGGCCCCCGCATGCAGCTCACCCAGGGGCAGGGCTCGGGCTTAGGCACTGTAGCCCCAGAGGCCTTCGCAAAGTTTAGGGACAGGAAGTGTCTGCGGGGCAGTGCCAGCCGTGCAGGGATGCAGGGGCCCACCAGTCAGAGGCCTCATCTTCTAGCCTAGCTGCTTCCGAATGCTGGACCTAACTCCCTGCCAGCACCCTCGTCTGTGCCCCCTGGGTCCCCCTGGTCTGTCTTCTAGTGAGCCAGTAGGCACTTCTGTCATTTCCACTTAGGGGTCTGGTCTCTGCGTATATATTGATATTGGCCCATTGTTTATAACAGCCCTCTAAGTATTTAAGTTTAGTGAGCTCCCCAAAACCTTCACAGAGGTAAGTATTCTTGAGTTGCCAGACTAAATACAGGACACAGTTAAATTTGAATTACAGATAAATAATGAATATTTTTTTGGTCATAAGCTTGCTTCTTGTAATATTTGTTATTTATCTAAAATTAAAATTAATTGGGTGGCCTGGGTTTGTATTTACTAAATCTGGCAACTCTCTAGTTCCTTGAGTTTTTCCTCCAATGATGGGTTTTCTGAACACACGCCAGTGTGTCTTTTCCCAGAAACAAGTACTTTGTTCCTTCCAGGGATTTCATTTTGTTTGTTTTCCATTTCACATTTCCTTATGAAGCTAATAATTGCAGAATAGTGTACCAGGCATTCCTTTTGCAGCACAAAATTAAGTAGTTTTGAGGGTTCTACCTTAGACATGAACAAATGAATTTATGGCAGTTGCCAAGCCAAAGTTGGTGATTTAGATAAATTCATGAATGATACAGATGCAGGTGCTAGAGGGTCTTAATGGCTGAGGCCCTGATGAGATGCTTGCCCTCCAGCTGCTCACAGTATAATCAGGCTCCAGACGACAGAGAACCCACTCACTAGTCTAACACTAACCCAGAGCATCTCAAACTTGAGTGTGTCCCCGCGTCACCTGGAGGGCTTGATAAACTATAGGTGTCTGGCCCCGCCCAGAATTTCTGAGTCAGTAGGTCCACATAACATCCTCATGATTTTTCAAGAATCCTGAATATGTGTGTGTGTGTGTGTGTGTGTGTGTGTGTATGTAGATGTATAAAGAATTGAAAGTCTAATCATTTTTGAAAACAACTCTGCTGGACCGCAGCCTCTCCTTTCTTCCACTCAACTGCCCATTCTGTACTTAAAGCTGCTAACAAGTTCATAGACCATCAGAGTTACTAGGAAAGTTTATTGGACAACTGGAGTGGGCCAAAGGCAGGGGAAGGGCTTGGAGAGGCTCAGCAAACTTTAGCGGTGATTGAACCGTGGTCCTGGGACAGACGACTGTCACATGTAACAGCTGTGACCATCACTGATGTGGCTGCTACTTGCAGGAATTATCTGAGCCGCAGAGAATTTTATTTTTGGTGGAAAAAATGTTTCAGTGGAAGTGAGGTTGTTCAATTTTTGTCCAGAGTCAGTAGAACCTTGGGTGATTTGTGGGTGCTTTTGGGAAAGGCCAAGCAGAGGAACTGGCATGTTACGTGCAAGGGGTGGGTGACTGGTCCTCAAGGTGCCAAGAACTGCACCTAGGGTAAGAGCATGCCCTGGACCTGTTCTCTTGCTTTCTCCCTATATAATGTCTGCAGGCACGAGACTCAAGTCTTTTTAAAAGGATTAGGTGGGGGTGCGCAGGGAGTGTGTTACATGTTAGGACAGCGCTGGCCAATAGAGATCCTATGTGAGCCACATATGCGGCTTTGTATTTTCAGTCGACATACTGGAAAAAGGAAGGAAGCAGGCGAGCTTACATATATTGTACTTAATGGAAAATTCAAAATATTGTCAGTTCAATATGTAACCCATATAAAATTATTAAATGAAATATTTTCAGCCACCGTCCTGGAGCCTATGGTGACATGTTGGGAACAGGACTTCTGCAGTATTGCTAGAAGGCTGTGGTTCAAGGTCTTATTTGTTGGCTACTGCTGAGGTTTCTGGAACCAGAGGGAGTGCACAGCTCTTCTTAAAACTGAAGGTGCTGATGCTCAAGATGAAGCAAGCAAGAGATATGCTTATGCTTGAAGGCAAAGAGCAACTCAGTGACTGCTGGTGGCAACTGGGATTGGAACTGGAACCCGAGGAGAGGTTGAGTGCCCATGGACGCAGTGGCACGGTTAGTCACGCTCGGGAGCTGCCTCCCCGCTGCTGCTGAGGACACAGGATCCATGTGATAGTTTACCCTTCCCAGTTTCAAACTTACTGAAAAGCCAGTGTAAAGATGCATCATGGCTTCTCTTACAACCCAATATTTTCATTCTTCTTGCCACGTGAGGTCTTCATGGTCATACATATTTTTCAAGTACATCTCAGCGTGGATGTGCTCAATCGCTACGCATGCCTAGTGGCCACCATATTGGACAGTGTAGCTTGAGAGTAATTCTGGGATCTAGGACAAGCTCCCTGGGCCTGGGAGTTCTTAGTGTTTAGCTCCTTCAGTGCAAGGGAGGATCTCCTGGCTCTAGCCCATGGCTTCTTTGGTCCTACACAGATCTGAGAGCTGGGCCCATCACCTGGCCCTCTCGAAGCATGGGCCGGGGTGGGCATGGGGTGGCGACTGTGCTAGTGAAGAGTGGTTTCGCAGAAGTCCGGGGGTATATTTTTGGCAAAGAGTCAAGAAACATGAGTCTCAGGACTCACTCTGCTATTAGCTAGCCATGTGACCTTGGGCAAGTTATATATTTTTTCTGGCCTTGTTCTTTGCTGTCTGTGAAGTCAAAGGATTGTACTGGCAATAAATGCCTGAGGTTTCTCTCACCCATCTTCATCCTCTGATCCAGTTCCTAAAGCTTCCTGATTCAGAGTGAAGGATTTCTGCATTCAGAGAATTGAGCCATGGGTGAGAGTCGAAAGAAAGATGCGGGCCCTTTACTAGGAAGAGGAGCTGACTCCTGGGTGGAGTGCCATCAGAACAGACTTGAGGGAGAGCTGTTGGCAGACATTTCCCATGGATTCTAGAACAAGAATTGTAATATCATCATGAAAGAATTGTTTCCTCTCTTCCCTGACACACACTCTGGCTTTCACTGTAAAGAGCAAACTTCTGGGCTAATTGTTCTCCCATGATTTCCATAAGGCACCCTAATCCCCTTAAAAAGCCCCCTACATTTGGAACATATTGCCCCTTCCTGGATTTGAGGCGATACCTGGTGTGGAAGGACACAGACGGTTGATCAGGTCTTAGAATAATGTGGGCTTCTTCCGTTTGATCATAAGACTAAGCTATGATCAGAGGCAGTATAGGCGGGCGAAGCTCCTTCTCACACAGCTGTCTCCTTAGCATGCATGGTACAAGCTCACATCAAGACAGGGAGTTAGCATGATTCAAAAAGAGGTCCTTGTGAGTTGGCATTTTCTAAGTGAAACTGAGACTCAGCTGATCAGGATGTAATTGAACATCTAACATCACCCCATCCCCCAATAAAGCTTTGATGATACTACAATTCATCTGAAATGCTGGGGAACAGATTGCCATAATTTTCATAACAAGAGGCAAACTGTCTAAATATTCATTACTGAAGTGCCCCGAGGTTCCTCCAGCTCACCACATCTGCTGTCTCCCTCATACAATTGATGCAGATTTGTGGCTGGGGATAGAAAAATAGTTCAGAGAATGGGCTATTTAGCCGCCTTCTGAACAAATAGTTTAGTCTTAGTGATTCAGAAGATCAGTTCAGCGAGTGGGTTTGGAAATAAACATTCTTGACAGCGTTTGTACCAAGGCAGATCGGGCATCCGGATAGCCGACTTGTCACAAGCCGCTCGCGCCCTTTCTGACCACCATGCTCTTTGTTCGCCGCTCTGAGGAGCTGCCCTCTCTTGGTGGCCTGGGTGCCTTGTGGCTGCCACTGGCCCCTCGAGGTGCACACTGTGTCTTTTTATTTCATAACCCCACCATGCAGCCCAGAAAAGTGCCAGGTACTGTGGGCACATAGTAAATGGTGCTGAGAAATTGAGAAGGAGAGATGATTTACAGTTTACCCAACTCTAAATTGAACAGTTTTCTACAAATAGTGTGTTAGCCTTGTGTCCCTTTTGCTAAGTTCACAGTCACCTGGAAGAAAAGTGCATTTTGCCACAGAAGACCCTCAGGTCTGTGTTGAGGGTCTGAGGCCTGGCCAGTGGGTGCCCGCGCTCTAGTCCCAGCCGCCCAGCAGTACCAGCACAAACCTAGTCAGGCTTCTTGCCTCGGTGCGCCCGGAAACATGTGAGAGATGCAGGTCCCAAGGCCTACCCCAGCCCAGTGTTAGGCTTTTCTCCCTTTTTCTAGAAAAATAGTCACTGCTTTTTATCATTTTCATAGGAAACTCTGAGCAATAAAACTAAGAAGTCACAAAGGATTTCAGTGTTATGCTAACTCATTACTAATTTTCATATTTCTGAAAAAATAGGCAAAATCATCTCAATCACTGTATAAATTACACCTTTATTTGTGTGTTTGTGTAAGTGCATGTGTATATTCATTCCTATTTGATCTTGGACTAATTAAGTCGCTCTCATTGATGAATAGGTGGGAAATGCCTGCCTCTCAAAGGGAATTAATTCCATCGCCTTCCTCTCCATCTCCCTTGCTACTCATTTAATTTGTACTCTGCCCGCGTCCAAGAAATTTAGCATTACATTCTTCTTTCAAGAGATACCAAATGCCGCCTTTTGTGAACTCTGCTGAATGTAATCTCGCCTTTCTCTAAAACACCATACTCAGCACAGTGACTTTATGCTTATTCGTGTGTTTTTCTTTTCTTCCTGTCATTCGCCCTTCGCCTTTTTCCAGGAAATAGACTGTGACTTCCATGCGAGGGTGGGAGGAGGTGATTGGATGAACTGGTGCCTCACAGGTCCAAGAGCTGACAGTATCTTTTTCGTGGTGGTTACTCAAGAAAAGTTTGAATTAAAATAAAGAACATCTTCATTCCATATACTATAAAATTAAAAGCAGAGCCTCAGAGTCAGTATGGTTTTCTTTTGTTTGTTTGTCTTGCATCTACATTTATTTTTGAGTATCTTAGAGCCATTGTTACACCCAACAAGCATAATGTTTGTATTTTCTAGTACCACTAAATTGGGGCCCAAATACCTCAGAAGTGAAAACAAATTCTTACTTTAAAATATATCATAATAACTTAAAATGTGACACTAATGTTTGCCATATCTGGTCAGGGTGTTCTGGGTCACAGCGCCAGTGACTAGAATCGTGACAAGTCAGAACTGGAGGGAACTTAGGTCTCGCCCAGTGTGCTCTTTGCTCCAGAGTTTAGTTCATGAAGCTATTTTGGGAGATTGGCCAGCCCCACTCTCTAATTTAAACAGAGCAACTGTTTTTTAGTTGTTTGATGTTGGGGCTTTAGTATAAGTTTACATTTACTAGAAGTATTCTGATGAAGCAAACAAGTGCTCCAGTTATCCCTCCTTGGCTAGCCTCTCATTTTACACGTCAGGACACAGGGGTCCAGATCTCCAGCTATGATTGCCTCAGCCTGTGTGCTTGGGAGTGCCCGCTAGAGCCCAACCCAGTCTTGACCATGCTGACTGACCCAGAATCCTCTCCTCCTTTTCTGTCCCTCTAACTTTCCTCCACTTTATACATATCATGAGGGGGTCATCAAAAAACATCAAGTGGGAGCTGTGCCTGGTTCTGAAGATGCAAAGAGACCCTAGACATGGTATGGAAACTGCTTCATGGAGCGTAGCAGATGACAGTAGCCACTGGCACTGGTCACTACTGCTCCTGTTACCTGAAGTCAGTGCTTCCTAGGTAACTCTGTGTCTAATGCTTCACACATAAAGCAGCATAATAAGTGGTAGAAATGTTCTAAAAACTAGTGACATCACTACACTGATGTCACACAATCATTAAAATTCTTCTAATTGTACAATTAAAATGTGTGAATTTATGGCACAAGTCATTGAAGCTATTTTTCAAAAAGGCAGGAGGAGACCTTCCCTCCTTAGCTTATGGGGAACTGTTTACCCAAAACAAAATGGCTCTGTGAAGTATTGTAAGTACTTTCTTGTAAATGTTTTCTCAGAAGTTGGTTACAAGTTGGTGCCAGTCATTTTTTCTGAACACCTTAGTTTGGGCCATGTCCTGAGGTAGCAAGGAAAGAATTTGGGGATATGGAATGAAATAGATGCATGAGATGCTTAGCAAGGCCCATCTCTTCTGCAATTCTATTTAAAAAAAAGAGAGAGAGAGAGATTTATTTTTATTTGTGCACACAAGAACTGGGGTACAGGCCAGAAGCGCGGGGGGTGGTGTGAGGATTCTCCAGAGACAGTGGGAAGCAGAACAGGTGGATTGACTGAAATGCTCTGCTGAGGGGAGCAGGGGGCAGGACAGGAGAGTTCTGCTGTGCCCTGTGGGTCAGCTCCCTGGCCGGGGATTGAACTCATAGGTCAGTGGCTGCTAATAATTTCATAGTACTGAGACTTACTCCCTTGCACCACGAGCGAGGACCCTGTAATTTTCTTGACTTTCCTCTCACAGATGAACTATGACTACAGCAGCACCAAACATTATACCATCTTCCAGCAAGGACAAAACAATGCTAAAACAGGGAAGCATGAGGCTCTTCCTCATGACTCTTTTTATCCTGGAACACATCTAACAGAACCCCGCCACCCCCAGCAGATTTCCTCTCACTTCTTACTGGCTGGAGGAGATCCCTTGCTCATCCCTAAACCAGTCAATCAACAGAGGGGGAGTGAAATTAATAGTATTTGCCTAGATGTATTTCCCTCATCTTCCGGGCTGTGGGAGGGGCCCTGTTCCTGAATATGGTGCCTGCGCATGTTGGGTTCTGTGAACTGGGGGGGGGGGGTGAGGAATGATTGCTGGGAGTTAACCAGCCATCCACTGCCCTCAGGGAGCTTTATCTGGGGGGGGGGGGATAGACACAAGACTTGTTGCTTTTCTTTGTTGACCACAGGTGGCTGCTGTTCTTTGTGAAATGCTTTCATGAGTTCCATCCAAAGAATTGTTCTTAAAGTAGGGCTCCGCAGCAAGGGTTTCCAGTGGCACTGTAATTGTTTCAGCATCGTGAGTTTTGAGGTTGAGCAGTCATACTTCACTAGCGCAGTCAATAGGAAAATGGGTAAGGAGCTGTCATTATCCTATTTGAAGATGCTTCCCTTTTTCCTTCATTTAAAATGTTTGGCAGATTTAGAATTTGAGAGATTTTCTATTACTGATTTGAAAGAGACTGAACAGTGGTAACTAACTATGTGGACATAGGAATATTTAGGCAATGGCCACGAGTGAGCTTTAGAAACTCAGCACAGATTAATGAGCAGAAGCATCAGGGGCCCAGAGCACTTACAACGGAAGGTTTCCAACTCAAAGACAGGGGCAGGTACCTTCCAACCACAGGGCAGAAAACAAAAAATTCTCTCCAGTAGCTAAATGAGTTTTTCTTTTTTCTCCTCCTTTCATCGCTCCTCGCCTCATCTGATCTAGACCAACCTTAGAGTACAGTTTGTCTTTATTAGAGATTTTTACTTTATATATCACTCTTGATTGATGTGACATTAACCATAATTTAAAAAAAAACACATTTCATTGAGTACTGGGCATAACGTAATTGATACTTACATATATAGCTCTAGGTGGTGAACTCTCTGCAGGAACTGGCCTGATCCTGATCCTTAGCTAAGCCGTTCAGAGCCATTAGGATTGTTGACTTAGCCACAGAGGAATAAATGCCTATCCCAGTAGATACTAATTCTCTTGAAGACTTTTTCTCACCACCTTCTGTCCTGAGTCATCAAACTCCAGTTTTTCAAGTCTTGATTTCCCAAATATCTTACAAGTATTTTCATTCTTCTAAGCTGGCGCTGTTGTGTAAATAGAAAAGATTTAACATCAAAGAGACTTTTGAAAACACGGAATTCAAGACATGCCTGAACTGATTTTGAGTGACTTTACTGTTGTTCCCCCTTTGATAAGAGCTGGTCCTGTCCTTGCTGAGGAGCGGCAACCCCCTTTATGACCGGACAGGTTCCCACATAGAGATGATGGGGCATAGGTGTGCTAGTTCATCCTCCCCACACATGGGTGAGAGTGTGTGTGTGTGAGAGAGAGAGAATAACATCTGGTTAGTATTTGTTGACTACTGATGGTTGACTTTTGTTAACATACAAACACACCTTCATCTAGCTCTTAAAATAGACCACTACAGAGTCTTTTTCATTGTTTTGGGTACTGTGTCGGCCTTTTAAGATATGCGGACGCCCAGTTCTAGATTTAGTGATACTTGAAAGAAGGCAATGAGGTCAAATTTAAGCTTTTTGATCTTTGTGGATTAGGTCTGCCTGTGCCAATACCTAGAGTACATGAGATAACATATACAAATAAAGAAAATAAAACAGACACTTTTGTTGGGTAGTTGGAGAAGTCATGATGTATTTTTTCTGTTTCCTATGCAAAAATGTGTCATGACTTTTACAAAAAGCCACTGTCTTGCTGAGACCAAGGAAATCTTTCTGCTTTTCTGCCTCAGAGAAGCAGAGCACCCAAGGGCACTTTATGATGTCATGTAATTTGTGAGGGGGAAGATGATGAACATGAATATGCATGAGCCATCTTAGGTGGCTTTGTGAGATTGACCCTTTCTTTATACAGTAGTTGTACCCTATTAAGTGTGCTTTTTTCAGAAGCTAACATCTTCTCCTAGATCAAGTGTCTTACAGGTTATTGTTGTTTTCTTTTTTCTTACAGCTAAGGATTACTGCAAAGTAATATTTCCATACGAGGCACAGAATGACGATGAATTGACAATCAAAGAAGGGGATATAGTCACTCTCATCAATAAGGTAAATGAAGGTTCCTGCCTGCCTTCTAAGCTGTGACTCTCTCTGATACCACCTTTTGTTTTAGCCCAGAAGTACTTGCTTTTCATGGTTCACAATTCCTGACGGAGACTCTTAAATCTTTCCTCTAGATCAGGCAAAGTTCCGTGTATCCGGGTGAATAATGAGCTTGAACATTGAATAGATTGTTTGCTTGGAGCTAGCTGCAGGTTTGCATGGTCCTGCAGAAGACATCTGTCCCAGAAGAGCTCACCCCGAAGGTGGCTTGCTTGGCTAGAGACCCTGCTTTCCACAGTAACCTTGACACAATGCTCCCTGAGAGGAGTTACGTAAGGAGGGGCTCCTGGCTCAGCAGAAAGCACTTGAAGAATGTTTGCTGTTCAGATCAAAGACAGGTAGTGAGCCTGAGAGAATTTTGGCTGTCTTGTTTGGGCTAAGGTTGGACGATTTTATTATCATTATGGGCAGACTGCTGTAAACAGACAGAGCTATAAAATCTGTGTGAAGTGATGCAGCTTAGCAGGATCTGGAACCTTACTGCTTGTGCTTTTGTGTAATAGCCTCACCAGGTAGGTAGTTGAGAGCTGCTTTGTTATAGTGATTCAGGAGTCGAGGCCTTTTGCTTGAAGTACAGAGTTTTGTGATGGTCAAATGCAGTGAAAAGTTGAACTGTCTATAAGATGTGTAGGGTAGTTTATTCTTGTATCCAGGTGAATGGTAGAAGCCTCTAATTCCCTATCACGAGCCAGACTGGGCATCCTCCCTGGTGCCTGTGCTCATGCAGGTCTGGGGTGTGCTGACAGGATGAGGGTACAAGGAAAGGGACCACCTCTAGCCAGAAATGTGTGGCCTGTCCCCCAACCCCCACCCCAAGTTTGTCTATAAAGTGATAGGTAGGATTTACTTTTATAACCTTTAAAATCAAGGATGGTTACCTTCAGGAAGTTTCCGTAGAGGTGTGTGTTGTAAGAATCGGAACCAAAGACACCAGTTGGTGAAGTTATCCAGAGGCTAAGTAGCTTGCCAAAGGTCGGATTATTTTAGGGAGTGTTAGTGCTCTCATCACTCTCTGAGAGTGGTACGCTTGGCAGTGCTAAAGGCACCCCTCCGGAATAGCAAACTTTCCCTGCTTTGCTTAGCACCCAAGATCGGTGCATGCTTCTACCTGTAAGATACTCTCCCTGAACTGACTGCAGGGCCCCTCTGCAGGTGTTAGATGAGGTAAGCGGAAGGAAGTCGGGGGCAGGCTGCCCTTGTTCTGCCAGGGAGGCCGAAGTGCGGCTGCTCTGTACCCTCCCCCTCGGCTGCGGGCGTTGCGTCCTTTGCGCGGTGCTCTCAATAGTTTTAATTAGGCCCTTCACCAACGCTCGGAATCGGGAGGTGGTAAAATGGGGTGAAGCATAATTCACATAAGCTGATACCTGGCGCCAAGACTCGGTTTTCTCTATGGGGATGCATTCCGAGCCCCCCGGTGGATGCCTGAAGCTGCACATAGTACTGAACCTCATAGACTATGTTTCTCCTAGACGTACAGGCCTATGATAAAGTTTAATTGGTAAATTAGGCCCAGTAAGAGATTAAGAGTGATACCATATAATAAAATGCAACAACTGTAGCAATTACTATAATAAAAGTTAAGTGCATGTGGTCTCTTTCAAAATTTGCACCACAGTAAATATCAGGTAACAAAGCTACAGAACTGGAACCCACAGTCGTGGGGTTTGGGGGGCGAACTGTGCAGGGGCTGGGCAGGTACCTGGCAAATAGCAGGCCATCAGGGAGTTCAGTAACCACCGTTCTATGCGGTGCGTGGGGGACGGCTACTTTTAATTGAAAACCGGATGTCTCAGTATTTAACAAGGCTCAGGGAAAAGAAAAAAAGCACCACGGATGACCTGTGACCTCCTCTCTGATCGCGTCTGGGTCTACCATAATGTCCTGTATTCCCCCTTTGCCATGTGAACACTTGCGACGAGAGCGTGTTTATCGAGACTGCTGGTGTCTGCCTCACCGCTTAGTGGAGTCGCTGGAAGAACCCAGCCAGAAAGCGTCTGTCTCCAGCTCCCCCAGAAGACAGGGAGTAAGCCCGGGCAGAGGAGGGAGGCTGGCTCTCCCTGCGGAGCCCTGCTTTCCCGACTGCTGGCGGGCAACAGCACCTTTGCGATGCGTGTACTTCTGCGGGGACGCCGGGTCCTCTGTCCCTTGTGCCTCGCATGCCCCCGTCACTTTCACACTTGATTCCCCTGGTTGCGCTCCGCCACCCTGAGTCTGGCAGCACCATCCCCTGCGGGGGCTGCCTTCCCAAGTCCCTGTTGCCCGCACCCAGGGGAGGCCCCGGGCCCAACCGGCTGTGAGAGAGCCGCCTTCCTCTCTGCTTTGTCCCTCCTTCTGGACCCTTCACTGCGCCACTCGGGAGGGGAACCCTGGGGGGGATTCCTCCAGGCCCCCCAGCCGCTTCTCTTTATCATCCCATGGCAGGGCTGGGCTCAGTGAACCACTCTGTGTCAACAGAAGTCTTTGGTAACAGAATTTTCTCTTTGATGCCGACACCCACTTGATTTTTCTGGCACTCATTTGCCCAGGTAGTCTTGCATGAGCATGTCTTTGTAGCCTTTGACCCCCATCACTGTTCTCCACAGATGCTTCCAGAGCCTCCCCATCCTGCTCAGGCATCCTCTCTGACTTGCCCCAGGCCCTAGTCCTGGTGCCTGGGCTGCCCTCTGCCTACCGACCCCCAGCGCTACTCTCTCCACAAGGGCCGCGCCCTGGTCTGCATGCAGGCTGCTCGGCTTCCTGTGCTCAGGGCCCTTTTGAGCCAGTTGCTTAAAACAAGTCCCTTATACATCTTCATTTTGTTTTTATTATTTTATATGCTCCATGAGATCAGGTCTCTTACTAACCTGCACTTCTGCAGACTTGAGCTTTTATTACTCCAAACGTCTGCCAGCCTTGAGCTGGCATTCCAGTCTGTGGAAGCACCTTGTTAAATGATGAGCGCCTGTGGGCCAGCAACTCAGGGAGCCCAGGGTGGAAGCTCAGCTCTGCCACTCCTGGCTGTGAGTCTGTGCTCAGGCCCCTCTGCTCTGACGCTGACGGCAGAGGGCTGCTGTGTATAAGTGTCTCTGGCGGGTAGGCTGGGAGTTGTCCCTTCTCCTTTGCCTGCTCTTTCACCTTGGAAATGAGCATGGAAGAGCTCTCCTGGGTGGGCCCAGTGTGCTGGTGGGGCTGGAATGCCTTGATATGAAGTAGGGGAAAATTTGGTGGAAAATCTACTTGACATTGGTAAGAATTCACAATGGATAAGATTTTAGCAAGAATTTGGAAAGAAAGCCTGCCATCAATACTTTGCCTGCTGGAAGTGAGAAGAATGGAGTCTGAGTGCCGAACCTGCTGACCTCACAGAAGCCCTGACCTCTGGCTAAGCGCAGGGATCTCCCAGTTCTCTCGGACGATTATGCGCTGCCGATCTTGCCCAGTGAGTGGCTTCACTGCAGTTTGCCTAGGACGCATTTGGACATGCTTCTTCATTGTATGGATGAGTTGAGATGGAAGACATGAATTGCTAAATTGAATTGCTTTTGCTCTACAGGGTCTTGATTTACCCCAAATTCTAGCTGTCTTTTTCTTCTCTTTGGCTTCCCTTTGCCCTGCTTTTCTATGCTGTTGTGGGAGTCACAGGGTGGGTGTTACCCTCGTTTTTAACCCTAGGTTGTCAGTTCATGAAGCTTTCTAGAAAATGAGTCAGATACTCATCAGATAATAGATGCTTATAAGCCCTGAAATAATGTGTGAAGACCAGAAGCATTTGTATGTGTACTGGAAACTAGGATGTAATGTGGCAACCTGCAAGCCTTGTTTCTTAGTTTACTTATAAGAAATTCTTGTGGGTTTGGGAACATTGCCGCTTCTACAGAACACACCTGTGCTTAGCTTTCATTTCCAGTCATTCAAAAACAGCGCCCTCATCTGTGTTCCTGCCTCCCCCACCCGTGCCTTCCTGATTTGTGCCCAGAATGTGTTAGAAGGCCTCGGGGTCTGCTCTCTAACTGAAGAAGCTCTGGCTGCTCCATGCTCAGGCCCAATGGCCAAGAGGGACAGTGCTCTTGGCCTTGACTGACAGCCTCCTAGCCTCAGAGCGGTGGCCCTTTCCCACAGCCCCACCTAACATGGGCAGAATGTTTCTCCACATGACCCCTTTGTAAACAAGGATCTTAGGTATTTCCTATAAAGAGGCTTTCCTGGGCCCTCCCTGGTGGCACAACAGGTTAAAGCGCAGCACTACGAAGCTAAAGCCACTTCAGCATGAGTTTGATTCTCGGCCAGGGAGATGATCAACATGGCGCGGCAGACCTCTCCTGACCCGCCCGCTGCTCCCCTAAGCAGTGTACTTCGTTGATCTGCCTGTTTTGCTCCCCACCCTGTCTTTGGTGAATCTTCTCACCCTCCTGCACCTCTGGCCTGTACCCCAGTTCTGTATGCGTAAATAAATCTTTGAAAAGAAAGAGAAAAAAAAAGAGGCTTCCCTGAGTGGCTGTGTCTTTGACCCAGACAAAGCAGACACAATGCCCGTTTCTTCTGGGTTATAAGCCTATTTGACAACATCAAGGTAAAAACTGGAAAAGACAATGTTAATGAAAATTGTAGTGTGGTAGAAAAGGAGAGAAGGGGAAGGAGACAGCTTAAGCTGTTAGTGTTCAGGGAGAGACACCAGCAGGTACACCCTGAAGGAAGAGGGGACCCAGAGGATTAGGTAAAGGGAGAAATCTAAAGCAACCCCTACCCCAAAAATGCAAGCTGGGTGCTTCACCTTTCCTAGGGAGGTATCAGAGCAGATCCCAAATGCTAGGAGCTAGCCCTGCCTAAGGGCTGAGTGCTACCTAAGCAGCTTCTTTCCTGTCCACCTCATCGTGATTCCTCACACCCAGACGGTGGAGGAGCACTGAGCGCCAGAATAGTGACTCTGCCTCTCTGCGCAAACCCAGCTTTCCAGACCCCTTCTGGGC